GGTCACATCTTCCTTCTCTTTCATTGCGGAGTGAGCAGAAATCAATAATAAGTTGATAAACTTATCTTTGACGCTGATTGTGACGAGACGTTCACCCACTGGCGTAAATGTTAGGACTCGGCGAAACAACCTTTCTTCCACCAGGAATCCGAAACCACATTTCCGTTCCTCTATGCGTCTACTCGTTTCCGTCCTTTTCAACTATAACTGATATGTCAGCGACTTTTTCGAAATTAAATGAATGGACATTACAAGTATAATTAAATACAATAAAATAGCGCAACAAAAATTGTATAAGAAATAAAAATAAAATTTCGATCATTGTAAAAAAAATTCAAAATATGAAAAATAAAATAATCTAAAATAATAAAAAAAAAATAAAAATAAAAAATAAAATATAATAAAATCATTTTAAAATAAACTAAACTAAACAAATTAAAATAAATTAAATAAAAACAAAATAAAATAAAATAAAGTAATCAATGATAATTATTGTTAATTAAATAAGGTTGAGTTAATAAAAAAAATAGAATAAATAATATTACATAAACTAAAATGAAACAAGAATTAAAACAAATAATATAAGTTAAGTTAATTTAAATGATAAAGCCAAAAAATAAGTTGAAATAAATTCATTATTCTAAATGAAATAAAATATAATAAAATAATAATAAAAGGGAATTAAATAAAATTAATTCAAATAAATCAAAATCAGTTAATTAAAGTGAAATGAATTTAAAATTCAATTCAAAAATAATAATAATAATAATAATAATAATAATAATAATAATAATAATAATAATAATAATAATAACAGTAAAAGCTAGAATAAAATATATTACAATATAAAGAATAAAATAAATTGAAAATAAAATAAAACAACAAATAAGATAATAAAACAAATCAAAATGAAATAAAATAATACTAAAGTTAAATAAAAAACTAAANACGGGGATTGCCGTAAACCAATGACATCTCACTGTTGACGATCCCCACTGATTTCCCTCGCTTGGTTTGGAACTTTGTCACGGCACGATATTGGATTTTTTCAATATTTCGCTTCACACTCTCAATGAAGTTGTTTGGTTGCTGATAGCGCAAAGATTAATTATCTGATAACATGGAAACATCATATTTTTACTCATTATGAGTCGCTGAGCATGTCACAATCCTAAAGAGCCTAATAAACCCCTAGAACATTATCAATTTCTTAACTCGAAAACACTCCCACGTACTATTGACATACTTAAATATTTATGTTGATTTCGGAAAATGATCCTTTTTCTTTACTTTAGAAGAAAAAGCTCCTGCAAATGTTTTCCAACGTTATGTAAACAATTCCTAATATTTTTAAAATATTGATTTACCAAGGATCTAGTCATCACAGAAAATTTCAATATATTTTAAATATTTTGTCTATCTTTTTTTTGCATTTCACGAATTTTATCAATTCAGGGGACTTCAGTCTCCATAGTGTTTTGGTTTCGTATTGACTTGTGTAGGTAGTGACTAAAATATTTGCAAAGACTCGGTTCTACGTATGATACCAAAGCAATGCCACTATCTCAACTGTATTTACTCCAATCTAGACATTTTAAAGCTAAACTGTTGTTCAACTAAATTTTACACATACATATATGTTGTGGACCTACATACTCTTGAAAAAACAAAATGTCTTGGTTACAGCTTCAATTATTTCTTTTTAAGTATATAACAAATATTTTAAATCCAATTCCAACATTTCGTTAATTATGTATCTATAGTGATGTTAACGAATTGTATTAGTTACCTTTTGTGATCAAATTATTTGTTATACTTTTTTTTCTTAATTCTTTTCTTTTTTGGAGATGCCCATAACAAATACTATATTTCCGTTATGAAATTTACTTTAAAAAGACTTAAATTAATTCATTTAAACAATCATTTAATTCCCCCGTATGGCTTCCTTGTTTTTTGTAAACAGAGCGCCTAGGCATATGCAACACTTTCACTATCATTTCATTGCATTGCAGGCTTCATTGGATTAAAATTTTTGACGAAAACTGAGTTGTTATTGATTTATTGTATAATATATATATATTGTACAATAAATCAATAATATATATATACCATTTAGTATTTTAAAATATTTTACTTAGACGTTACTGTTTGGAATTGCTTTGTAGAATTGTCAATTATTCAAAATAATTTACAAGTTAATTACAAAACAATATCGGTAAAAGTAATCGAAATTAAATTAAAAATTAATCAGCAGAGATTTGAAATGAATTTGGCGCTTTTTTTCTGTAAAAAAAATATATTTTTTTTTTAATTATTTGTGTATTTGTAATAATTATTAATTTCAAAACTAAGCTGCTGACATTGATCAGCATAAATCAAACGTTTCTTTCGGATAATGATATACAGAACCCAAAATGTAAAATTGTGAAAATTTTAAAAAGTATATCATTTTACATTTTAAGGGCGGTTGCAGGATAATCCGAGTTATTGAAGGGAGCAATGCCTTAATTTTTTCTGAAATTTTGATCAAACGATTTAGGAAAGCCCTTTAATCGACCAATGCAGGGCTGTTGCAGATACATTGTGGTCTGAAAATTTGTACAAAAAGCTGACAAAAAATATTTTTTTCAATGTGTATGAAATATTATTGTAGGATATATGCTCCGGATGGCAGAACTATAATTTGTTATCCAATAGCTAGTCGAAAGTCGAGAGGATCTTTTTGCATTTAAGAAAGGATATCCTTGAAACAAATCAACGTAGAGAAAAAAGTATTGGGTACAAAAATAATTCGGTCCGAAAGAAAGAAAAAATCGCTTCATCTGCAAGTTGTAACACATCTTTGCAGCTATTGCCTATTCATTGGAAAGGGTTCACATCTGTCAACCATTTGTAGTATGCCTCATCGTCAAGTAATTCATTTGAACCGTGCTTTGCCTGAAATATCCATCAGAAACGACTAAAAGACATGATAAGGTATTTTTGCAACATCGCAAAGCTCGTCCGCACGTGGCTGTAGAGTAAAAACTACTTGGAGAGGCTGAAGTTGGAGGTCTTCACCCACACATAATATTGTTTAGACCTTGCTCCTTCCGACTACAGGCTTTTTGGACAGATGCAAAACTATTTAAGGGGGGAGAACCGGCTCGGCTCTTTTGAAGAAATCGAGGAACAGCTCACTTATTGAATTCAGTGCAGAGAGGATGATGAAAACCTGTCAGTGATGATTCCTAAAACTAAAACCCTTTTCGGTCTTCGTAAACCACCTTGTCAGACTACAATACAAAAATTTGTGGAAAAAACGTAGCTGTTTCAACAAGTCAATGAAGGCAAGAATAAAACACGTGCACATCGCTGAGGAAGAATTGTATCTCGAAGAGGTAATCGCAATCGGCCACCGAGATCTTGTAATTTAACATCTTGCGACTTCTTAATTTGAGGACACGAGAAAGATAGGGTCTACGCCAATAGGCCAATGTCGATTCAAGACCTCAAAGAAGAAATTCGTGAAGCTATTGAAAGCATATTGTAGCCAGTCATATCTTCCTCCTTACATTGAAATACTCATCCGAACATTTATCTCGAAAAATGCCATTTTTCTTTGAATATCAAAATACCGCCTGTTATTAGAGAACCCTGCATATAGTTGGGTTAAGCTTGGTAATACGATGAACCAACTGTATCCACTAACCTGCTCTCTTTTTCGCTTTCGATCAACCAACCATAGATTTCCAAAAAAAAAAAAAACACTCAGCGACCCACCCTATATGTAGCAACATAACAGCATACGAGGTGTGTTCAAAAAATTTGTGTTTTTGCATAAACAGTTTATTTATTCATGAATATCTATTTTGTCCCCTTCAAAGTAATCCCCATGAGATATTTTACACTTATGCCAACGGTTTTTCCAATCTTCGAAGCACTTCAAAAAATCATTTTCTTTTATCTTGTTCAGCTCCTCCTTCAATGCCGTCTTTATCTCGTCAATCGTAGTGCAACGACGTCCTTTCATGGGCCTCTTCAGTTTAGGGAACAAGAAAAAGTCACAGAGGGCCAGATCTGGGTAATACGGTGGCTGCGGCATCATTAGTGTGTTGTTTTGGCCAAAGAGTCGCGCACAAGCAACGATGTGTGAGCGGGGGCGTTATCGTGGTGCAAAAGCCAATTTTTGTTCTTCCACAAATCCGGGATTGCTTCGCCACTATTCGTCACCAGATATAACCTTCTGGAACAAATTTGGGTCGTCGCGGACAGAGTCCAATATCTCTTTAGCAATGTTCATGCGATGCTATTTTTGGTCGCAATAGAGCAATTATGGTACGAATTTCGCGGCGACCCGTCTCATGCCCAAATTATTGATAAAAATCGAATGGCACGAGCCAATTGATATGTTTAGGTCCTCAACAACTTCTCTAACGTGATTCGACGATTGGCCAATACCATTTTCTCCACTTCATTAATTTTTTCGTCTGTTAAAGTGCTCGGGCGTCCGGCTAGCTCTTCGTCGTTCACATCTTCTCGGCCTTCTGAGAACATTTTGTACCACCGATAAACGTTGCTCCGGTCCAAAGTAGCTTCTCTGTATGCCACAGTCAACATTCGGAATGTATCCGCGCACTTAATTTCGCTTTTTTTTCTTTGATACAGGTCCTTTGATCCATTTTTTTGAATAGGTAAAAATTCTATTATACGTGACCCGCGAAAATTCAAAATTCGCGATACTTTTTGAACACACCTCGTATATGCTATAGATCAGACCACTACCAACGGCATAGCCACAAGCCAGAGAGCAAATGCCCATTAGTACTATGCATGTATGTATGTACATGCACTCACGTATGTGTTACTTCAATGCGAAACTTTATCAACGCCAACACCAAAACAAAAAATTTACAACAACAACAATAATAAAAACAAAAACTCAAACAACTTTATCGCATATTCATCTACCATCAGCAAAATGAGGAGTGAAGAAAAAATAAAAATTCGCATTTCGTCGGTGTGCTTGGGAGCACAACGAATCTCCAAAACGAAAATCAGTTGACGAACTTCAATCGTAACAGCAGGTTCATTTGCTGCTCGCCGTTATCTCGCTGTCAAAAGAGACGCTTTTTCGTCTAGGCAAAATCGTTTATAAGCGTTGAGCGCGCAGCTTACCTACGCGAGGCGAAGTGGGAAGCAGAAGAAGTGGTATAAAAAAAAACCGAAATTGGAATTAAAATGCATATACATATATACAAATATATTTACATATATATATGTATATTAAATTTAAAGAGATAATGTGTGTTATGCTAAATGGCAAATATTGAAAAATTATTTTATTAAAAATCATTAACATAAAGGCATAAATTGTACTGTGCGCGTGTGTGGAAAATAAAGTGTGGAAAAATATTTAACATACGAGTAAATATATGTATGTCCACATTCAAGCGAGTACACTTGTGTGCGCGAAATACATATACGTGTAAATACGAGTATGTATATAATTATGCATACTTAAACACACATACATACACATTTCAACGTTTTTTACCTTGACGTCACGGCGCTTTTTATAACCTGCCAGCAGCGCAAATCAAAAAACGAGCGTTGGCAGTTACAATAGCTTTGTCTGAGCAGGGAGAACCAAAAGTGCCTGACATATGTAGAAATATACATATGTATGTATAAACATATGTATGTATAAACATATCTTAGATACGTCTAGATAACTATAGCGACAAGCCAGTTGGCGGATTCCCAGCGAATTGGCAGCGGTGCTACTACCGTGGTGATACCACAATAACACAGTTACATAGATACACACACACACACACACACACCCTTAGGCGTTTAGCAAAAGTCACAGTGGCAAAAGGCAAAGCTACAAAGAAAACAAAAACAAAAACACAGCACACACCCACAGTGAACAAATGTACGTGTATATGTGTGCTTAATACAAATAAACCTGTATTTTTGTATGTTGACAAAAAAAATATATTTACTTTTCAAATAATTAAATTTATTTTGTTTGCACAAAAATACGTCAAACTAATAAAACTAAATGAATTAATAAAATTGCGTGCGTTTATTAACCGGAAAAAACAACAACAACACATGTTTCGTTACCAAATGGTACACAATCGAAATTAAATACACACATACAGACGGGGGAAATATTGAAATGACTTACAAATAAATAATAAATACCAACACATGTGCAAATAAATAATACAATAATAATGTTTGTATGTTTGTCAAACAGTTTTTCACGTGTCTAAATTTAAAATTCTCGAAACTGTGAACCCCAAGAATTTTTAAATTTCATTTAAAAATATAATAAAAAAGTTAGCACAAAAGGCTAACGCCATACAAAAATCTCACTACAACCCATACAAACATACATATGTACAAGCATATAGGATTTTTTTTTACGCTCAAACAACACACGATTATTCGCTGTTTTTTTTTTAAGACCAAATCAAACACAGCTGCGCTGAAACCCACGATTAAACAGAGAAAAATTAAACAATAAAAAAAACAATAAAAATAAAAATAATAAAAATCAAAGTGAAAAAAAGATAAATAAAAAAGGAACGATCGGATAAACTCGCAAAAATTTATTCACAAAGCACATAAAAACAACAAAGCAATAACGGCACTTCAATCCGAGCGCATAGCGTGCACACAAAATGGTATTCTACATTTCGTTTTTTGGCAAAAATGTCGACCCACCAGATAAGACAATGGTCAACGAAAAGAGGTGAGTAGTGGGAGAGGGAAGAAAAACATACGAGCTTTTGTTATGCTAGGGATCACTAGCGAGTTCTGGACTAAAAGTAGACACCGCTTAGCGCTTCTTCTTGTTCTTTACTGAAAGTAGACACCGCTTTCATCGAGCCAACAACAGCGCGCCATTTCTTCATTTCGCTGTTTGGCGCGAATTGATTACCATCAGCAAGTACAACCATTTCCTTCTCCACCTCATCCTTCCAAAGGAGTGGAGGTTCTTCTTCTTACTCCGCTTCCACCGTAGAGCACTACATCGAAAACTTTCAAATCTGGCGTGTTCTCGTTCATTCAGACCACCTGATCCGCTGAAATATTTCAATATCGCCGTATATCTCGCACGGCTCATCGTACCTTTATCTACAGTATTCGCCGTTGCCAATGCGCAGAGGACCAGAAACCTCTCTTTGAAACCTCGTTTGGTATTGAACGGCTCGGAGACGTGCTTTCCGATTCCGATGGAGCTTACGGTCTGGCATAACGTCAATTTAAATAGCCCAGCGGCCGCAAAGGCTTATCCCACGATAATTGGTGCAGACTATGGGATCCAGCTTTTGTAGATTGGGCAGAGAACACACATTAGGTTTCACACGTCGGGCATGCTTTCCTTCGTCTATATTCTGCAAAGAAGCTGATGCGTGCACCTTGTCAGTTCTTTGGCCGCCATGTTTGTATAACTCTGCCGGTAAGCCATTGGCTCCAATGAAATAAAAGAACAATAAGCGGGCAGTAGCTATTCGAACCTCGCCATAGGCTGGTAATATTACGTTTTCACTGCCAATCAGCAGACTGGAGAAAACATCCCTCCACAAATTCTCTGTTTATCAATCCCTAGATCACCTCTCTGGGCTCTAAAAAAGTTTGCTTCGGTCCTGAAACTTTCTGTAAATCTTCAGTCGTCTCATTGAAGGGTTTTTTTTTAAGTAAGCTTATTTAAAAATACACAACATTTACATATATATCCATACAATAATTTCGATCATCAATCATATTATATTATATGTCCGCTCCACAAACTACGTAATTTTAGACAAAAAAAAAAAACAAAAAAACAATAAATATTACAACAATAAAAGAGATTCCCTGTAAGCCACAATGTGATATTCCACCTTCAATGCCACAAACAGAATCAACAACCACAACAATAACAATAACAATAACAAATGAAAGCAACCGTAAAATAAAACTGCGACTTTTGTCTGCTGCGACACAAGCCACACATACCGATTCGTGCGCCTGCACGAGTGCTGTCGGGTCAAAGTCCGTAAAAACATTAACTTAAACTCAGAATTATTTTATTTTAATTTTTATTTTTAATTTTTTCTTTTTTGCTCATGAACGCTTTTATTTTTGTTCATTAGGGTGGTACATTACATTGAGATGTCGGTCATATTTATACGCATTCCAGCCAGTGCAGATCGGCCAAAGGCATTTAAAATGGTTTGCTGCTTTTTTGGTTGATTAATTCAAAGCAAAGAGCGACAATCTCACACCAAGCGCTCACACTCAAGGCATTGACAAGGCTCATTCATCATTTTCTTCCTCCCCAAGTATTGATTTCGGTTTTACTGTAAGTTGGGGGCAAATTGGGACGTCTCAATCGATTGCAGGCCGTGCACTGTCTCTTTGAGCTTTGTTCTCCACTTTCATGCTCGGATCTGTTTCGCTTAGTGCATGTAACAGTTTGATCTCTCTTCTATTCACGCTGTCTCGGAGTAATTTAACCCTACATCCTACGTTACAATTGCATCAGTACTTTAAGTATTCCTTAAGAAGTTCACTCCAACAGATAAGATTTGAGGGCTGGGAAATATCAGCGGCAGTCGATGGTGACGTCGATGTGAGTACATTGAGATCTTCATCAGTGATTTTTACTCTCTTTTCTGCGATAATCTCTTAACTGCCTCTTTGAGTGGCGTAACACGATTTAACGTTGTGTTGACACTTTTAATTGCCTTGTCTTGGTTGACTGTCTACTGGACACCTTATAAATTCGAACGTCTATTTGTCACCCTCAGCTGTAGTTATTGATGTGTTTAAAGACGCCAGCCTTATTAGGGAGGGCAGAGAAATATTCTTCTCTGATAGCGTTGGGAAGAACTTCGAGGACTTCTATTTAGGTGGCCCCATCAAGTCTTTTATAAAAAGTAGAGAGAAGTTGAATTTAATTCCTCTATCTCCTCCTTTTTTGGTATTTTCTCTACACTTAAGTTTTATCAATAAACATACTGCTATGCTGAAGATCAGGATTCGATTCGTTGTTCGACCAACAACCCAAATCATTCAAAATTAGTTTTTCTAATTACGGTCGACCCTCGGCAGGGAATGTCAAGTCCTCTGAGTATTTTTCCGACATGAAATAAAAGCTCCTCATAAAAATCCATTGGCCGTTCGGAGGCGGCTTAGAATAAACTGTAGGTATCTTCTTTTGTCGGCAAAACATGAAGACGCATACCACGAATTGAAGTAAGAGCTCGGCCAAAATACGCTTGAGCGGTTACAAAGCGGTAATTTTTATATTAATATTCCCATTTTGGTAGGTAAACTTGGTTAAATTTTGTATTAATTCCTCTATTTCTTGTCGTGAAGAGCCACACCTTAGATTTTACTGAACCGCTTGTTTCTCAGTAGAGTTTTCAAATGTCGTTACTCGTGCTATACATATATTGTTAGTCTTTAACGTCTCGTAATACACTGAGTAAAAAAAATGTGTGACAGACACCGTTACCTGTTACTCAAATGAGACCAAATGAGACGAAAGGCGCATCAATGCGTTCATTTTCCGACGGAAGAATCTCCTTGGTCGCTCCTTGTCTAGAAGGTCTGTGTGGCCGAGACCCAAACGAGAGATACTTTGTTTTGTTCAGTCACATCCTGCAGAGATCTGTGTCAGTCTAGTATGATTTTAGAGTTTGTCGGACTCATTCGGGTCTTACCACATCAGCATTGGCGTCTTCGGTGCGTACAGTACGGCGTCTCTGAGAATACGCATTATAAACTAGGCTAAACGTAGTGCAAAATCGATTTATAGTTGCTCGAGCTACCGAGCTCGAGCTGCTGGGCGTTTATGTTGACCGAACCGTTATTTTGGTGATGAATTTGCACGATTTGCAAACGTTATTCCGCAGTAAGTCTGTTCATTATGAAATCGAAAACCAAAGTTAGTACAAGTAAATCAAGTAATAGCTGTCAAAATTAGTATTGCTTTCTTGAAAGCCACATTTAAAAAAAAACACCCTTTATTTTAAAAATATAAATGTGAACCGGAAAGTCAGTTATTAATCTATTAGCAAATATATCAGGTGTACAACTTTGCTTCCGCCGTTTTCCGATAGGTGGCTGTACCGGCTGAGGCTGGTTGAAATACATAGATGATAATGCCTTTAAAGTGAGCGTGATTTACTACGAGCTCTTAAAACCGGGTGAAAAAATCACAGGAGATCGCTACCGAAGGCAACTGATGCGCCTTAGTCGCGCGCTAAAAGAAAAGCGGCCACAATATCTTGAGCGACATGACAAAGTCATCCTCCAACACGACAATGCTCGGCCTCGCGTCGCAAAAGTGGTCAAAAAGTACCTGGAAATGCTAAAATGGGAAGTCTTACCCCACCCGCCGTATTCCCCAGATGTCGCCCCTTCTGACTTCCATTTATTCCGTTCGATGGCACACCGCCTGGCAGATCAACATTTTCAATCCTTAGAAGAATTGGAAAAATGGATTGCTTCATGGATAGCGTCCAAAGAGGACTCCTTTTTTCGAGCCGGGATCCGAAAATTGCCGGAAAGATGGGAGAAAGTTGTCGCTAGCGAAGGACAATACTTTGAATAATATATCTGTAAGCACTTTTTCGCAATAAAGCTTTTAATTTTAGAAATAATCGGCGGAAGCAAAGTTGTACACCTGATTACTTTCTGCGGTTGTGTTTGGTATTTCTATTGCTAAAAATAGTTTTAATTTTCATAAATAAATAACTGTAGTAGCACATACATAAAAGTAAATATGTCCCTATGTATATGTATACTTTTTGAACTTTCTAATCTAACAATTTTCTTGTATACACGTATTAATTCAATATAGAATTTTGTACTTTGTTGTATATTAATTGACTTAATCGAAGGTTAAAGTGTACACCCGTCATTATATCATTAAAATTTAATAGCAATTTATACTTAAAAAGCATTTTCTATTCAGTTTTCATAATAAATCTATTATACCGTTAATTATATTGTAATTAAATGCTAACCTACGAGCGACGACGATTGTCAACTATTTTAAATTGCTGCGGCTCAATATTCTCAAAAGGCTCAAAATTCCAGTCATTTACGTCTAGAATTATTTATAAAAAAGAAAAAATAAAATAAATTAAAATAAATATGTATATAGAAAAATAATTGAATTCATCCTTCCGTGAATGATTGGATCGTCAAACATAAAATTTTGCTATCGTTGTTTGACGCCGATTTGAAATTCCAACAGGTAACTCTCCCCCTGAGTCTCTGTTTCCACCGGCGAATACTTCAGCACCCCACTGCCTATACTATGCAGCCGCAGTCTCTGTGTATATTCGCTAAACTATTAATTATTTTATATTTACTGTCATTCCGAAGACTAGGGTTCGAGTCCCGGTTCGATCAACATCCAAAATTATAGAAAACTAATTTTTTTAATTACGTTCGCCCCTCGCCAGAGAATTTTAAGCTCTGCATGTATACTTTTGACGAGAAATAAAGGCTCCTGCTAAAAATCCAACGGCCGTTCGGAGGATCAATTTTTTTTGGAAAAAAAATCAAGACGCAGACCACAAATTGGATGTTGAACCGCCCAGCGGTTACAAAGTACCAATTATATTACAATGTCGCCGTATATGTATCTCGTCCAGCTGATCGATCGGCATCATTCGCGGTTATCGTCGCTGCCTAGGCGCAAAGTATCATAAATTCATATTCCGAAAAATCTTTCTGTCGAAAACTCCT